GTAAAGGGCCCGAAACGTCGGTTTGTTTGAAAAAACAAATATACGCGATTTAAATCCGGAAAAATAGTTTCACTTGCTATATTAAGTACTATTTAAAAAGAATCTTGTCTATGTACATCCTTCACATACCATAATTATAATTAGAATATACTAACTCTAAATTCGTTTGAATTCCATTCTCTGCCTGTTCTATTCTTTGTACACACTATAGGTTTTCAAAATGGCCACCGTAAAGCTATGGTGATTTCCCGCAAAAAAATGTCAGAAAATTAAATTATTGATAAAAAATTACAATCCACGACTTGGCAGTACAGCCATTTTAAACGCCTTAGTCTGTCTCGAAGGGCGAAATATTTTACTACTGTACACAGTAAAATATTATTTATTGCTAAGAGCAGCAGCAGTAGAGCAGCAGCAGTAGAGCAGCAGCAGTAGAGCAGGTCGGTGGTTTGTATGTGAAAATAAATAAAACAATAATCATCTCAGTACAGAGTACTAAAAAAACCGACCTCAAAAGTATTTGCCAAGTTTTTTTTGAAATCGGTTTCCGGAAAGTGCGCAAACCCGGATTCATCCCCTAGTTCGCCACTATACGGAACTTGACACAGGAGATAATAAAAAATCGGTTCTCACTACTCAAAGTGTATTGAGAGAAAAACGCTTTGAATTTAACTGCCTCCGTGGCCGAACGGTTACCATGCCGGACTGCCACGCAGAGGTCCCAGGTTCGATTCCCGGGCCGGGAGAAATGTTTGTATGGCCTACATTTATTTCTCTCGTGAGTTTGGGTGTAATTTGTGGTTGTCTATATGTGTGTCCATGGCACCCGCGACACAGGGTTTCCCTAGTGCGGGGCTATGTTGAGTGTGTGCGTTATTTATTAATTAGAGAATAGCAAAATCAACCATTAAAATAATTGCTCCTTAAAATAAACTTTAGGCGCTATTTATAAAAATGAATCTTCATGCGTGGCCAGCCACTCTTAGAGGTGGATGATTTTCTTCAAAATTAAATGGGACCACTATGGAGGTACCCTCTTTCCTACAAAAAAAGAATCATGAAAATCGGTGCACAAAAAAACATACAGTCGAATTGAGAACCTCCTCCTTTTTTGAAGTCGGTTAAAAATAAAAAGACATTTATTTCTTCACAAAACATAAGAAACACAATACGTAAAAAACGAATAGAAAAAACAATTGAGTGATGTGAACAAATAGATTAAAGACTCAGTATTGCTGATTTTCAGTCTTCACCTGTAGCTGGCTGTTCGCTTGCTGCACCAAATTAATATGCCGAGTGTACACCAAGTT